TGGCGATATGGATTAAAGAACAAGACCCAACAATATGCTGCCTCCAGAAAACATATTTCAGCTGCAATGAGAAACACAGGCTCAGAGTGAAGGGACAGAAGATGATACTCCAAGCTAATGGCAAACAAAAGAAAGCAGGTATTGCAATCGTTATATCAGACAAAGTAGACTTCAAGATAAGACAGGTAAAGAGAGACAAAGAGGGGCAGTATATAATGATCAAAGGGACATTCCATCAAGAAGAAATAACACATAAATATCTATGCACCCAACACAGAAGCACCTAAGTATATAAAGCAACTGTCAACAAGCCTAAAAGAAGACGTTAATAATAACACTATAATAGCAGGGGAACTCAACACTCCATTCACATCAATGGATAGATCATCCAGACAGAAAATCAACAAGGAAACAGTGGAATTAAATGAAAAGCTAGACCAGTTGGACTTAGAAATATATACAACATTCCATCCAAAACAGCAGAATACACATTCTTCTCAAGTGTGCATGGAACATTCTCAAGGATAGACCATACGTTGGGAAACAAGGCAAGCCTCAACAAATTTAAGAAGATTGAAATAACAACAGGCATCTTTTCCAATCACAATGCTATAAAGCTAGAAATTAATTACAAGAGAAAAGCTGAGAAAGGGACAAAGACGTGGAGACTAAACAACATGCTATTGAACAAGCAATGGATCACTGAAGAAATTAAAGGAGAAATCAAAAAATATCTGGAGACAAATGAAAATGAAAACATACCATACCAACTCATCTCGGATGCAGCAAAAGCGGTAGTAAGAGGGGAATTCATCACAATACAGGCTCAACTTCACAAACAAGAAAAATCCCAAATAAGCAATCTCAAACTACACCTAACTGAATTAGAAAAAGAAGAACAAACAAAGCCCAAAGTCAGCAAAAGAAGAGAAGTAATAAAAATCAGAGCAGAACTAAATGCCACTGAAACAAAAAAGGCAGTAGAAAGGATCAATGAAACAAAGAGCTGGTTCTTTGAGAAGAAAAAATTGACAAACCCCTAGCCAGACTTACAAAGAAAAAAAGAGAGAAAGCTCAGATAAATAAAATTAGAAATGAAAGAGGAGAAATAGCAATGAATACTACAGAAATACCATGGATTATAAGAGAACACTATGAAAAACTATATGCCAATAAAATGGACAATCTATAGGAAATGGATAAATTCTTAGACTCTTACAACCTCCCAAAGCTGAATCAAGAAGAAATAGAGAATCTGAAAAGACCAATCACAAGTACAGAGATTGAAACAGTAATCAAAAGTATCCCAAAGAATAAAAGCTGAGGACCACACAGCTTCCCTGGGGAATTCTACCAAACTTTCAGAGAGGATTTAATACCTATCCTTCTCAAGCTACTCCAAAAAATTAGGGAAGATGGCATGCTTCCTAACACATTCTATGAGGACATCACTCTGATACGAAAGCCTGACAAGGACAAGACGAAAAAGGAAAACTACAGGCCAATATTGTTGATGAACATAGATGCAAAAACCCTCAACAAAATATTGGCACCCCCAATTCAGCAATACATCAAAAAGATCATCCATCTTGATCAAGTGGGATTTATACCAGGGACACGGGGATGGTTCAACATCCACAAATCAATCAACGTGATACACCACATTAATAAAATGAGGAATAAAAACCACATGATCATCTCAATTGTTGCAGAGGAAGTATTTGACAAGATCCAACAGCCATTTATAATAAAAACTCTTAACAAAATGGGGATATAAGGAAATTATCTCAACATACTAAAGGCCATATATGACAAACCCACAGCCAACATCATAGTCAATGGGGAAAAACTGAAAGCCATCTTTCTGAGAACAGGAACAAGACAAGGATGCCCACTGTCACTACTCTTATTCAACAAAGTACTGGAGGTTTTGGCCAGAGCAATTAGGCAAGAGAAAGGAATAAAGGGAATCCAAATAGCGAGTGAAGAAGTGAAACTCTCACTGTTTGCAGACGACATGATCTTATATGTAGAAAACCTAAAGAATCCATTGGAAAACTATTAGAAATAATTAACAATTACAGTAAAGTAAAAATCAACTCACAAAAATCAGTTGTATTGCTGTACTCTAATAACGAACTTACAGAAAGAGAACTCAAGAATACAACTCCACTTACAATCGTAACTAAAAGAACCGAGTAGCTAGGAATAAATTTAACCAAGGAGGTGATGGCTTTATACAATGAAAACTGTAAGACATTATTGAAAGAGATAATGACATAAAGAGATGGAAAGAGATTCCATGCACATGGATTGGAAGAGTAAACATAGTTAAAATGCCCATACTACCCAAAGCAATGTACAGATTCAATGTCATCCTGATCAGAATCCCAATGACATTCTTCACAGAAATAGAGCAAAGACCCTGAATTGCTAAAGCAATCCTGAGAAAAAAGAACAAAGCTGGAGGCATCACAATCCCTGACTTCAAAACGTACTACAAAGCCACAGTGATCAAAACAGCATGGTATTGGTACAAAAACAGACACACAGAGCAATGGAACAGAACTTAAAGCCCAGAAATAAAACCACACATATACAGACAGCTAATCTTTGACAAAGGTGCCAAGACCATACAATGGAGAAAAAAATAGTCTCTTCAATAAATGGTGTTGGGAAATCTGGACAGCCACATGCGAAAGAATGAAAGTAGACGATTGTCTCATGCCATACACAAAAATAAACTCAAAATGGATCCAAGACTTGAAGATAAGTCCTGAAACCATAAAATTCCTGGAAGATAGTATAGGCAGTACACTCTTTCACAACAAACTTAAAAGGATCTTTTTGAACACCATGTCCTCTTAGACAAGGGAAACAAAAGAAAAAATAAACAAGTGGGACTTCATCAGACTAAAGAGATTCTGCAAGCCAAAAGAAACCAGGATCAAAACCAAAAGACAACCCACCAATTGGGAGAAAATTTTTGCAAATCATATATCCAAGAAGGGGTTAATCTCCTTAATATATAAGCAACTCACACAACTGAACAACAAAAAAACAAACAGCCCGATCAAAAAATGGGCAGAAGATAGGAACAGACATTTTTCCAAAGATATAGATGGCTAATAAACATACGAAAAGATGTTCAACATCACTAACCATCAGGGAAATGCAAATCAAAACTACATTAAGATACCACCTTACACCTGTTAAAATGGCTATAATCACTAAGACTAAAAATAACAAATGTTGGAGAAGGTGTGGAGAAAAGGGAACCCTCATACACTGCTAGTGGGCATGCAAACTGGTGCAGCCACTATGGAAAACAGTAGAGAGATTCCTCAAAAAACTAAAAATAGAACTACCATATGACTCAGCTATACCACTACTGGGTATCTACCCAAACAACTTGAAATCAACAATCCAAAGTAACATATGCACCTCTGTGTTCACTGCAGCACTATCCACAATAGCCAAGACATGGAAACAATCCAAGTTCCCATCAACCAATGATTGGATAAGGAAGATGTGGTTATATATATATATATATATATACACAAGGGAATACTACTCAGCCATAAAAAAGACAAAATCATCCCATTTGCAACAACATGGATTAACCTGGAGGGTATTATGCTAAGTAAAATAAGCCAGACTGAGAAAGACAAACACCAGATGATTTCACTTATATGTGGGATATAAACAAGCACATGGACAAAGAAAACAGTTCAGTGGTTACCAGGGGAAGGGGGTGGGGGTGGATACCACGGGTGAAGCGGACCACTTATGTGGTGTCAGACAAGCAATAATGTACAACTGAAATTTCACAATGATGTAAACTATTTTGAACTCAAATAAACAAAAGAGAGAGCTCTTTCCTCACATATTTATGCAAATAGAGATCATATACTACATAGAGTGGTATGAGAGTTGTGGAAACCTTTAAAACATTACCTACATACAGCCCACATCCATAATTAAATGGCAACAAATACTTACATTTTTTTCCTTTTTCTTTTCATTTCTCTTTCTTTTTTTTTTTTTTTATCTAGGGGATGTGGGTGGAGGGCTGAATTCAAGAATGAACAGGCTTCTTGGAGGACTGATAAGGGAAGATGGTTAGGATTCTTTTTCTATCAGGGTATTCCAAAGGCAAATTTTTAAACTGTTACCATTTGTTGAGTCTACTATGTGCCAAAGCTATGCTAGGTAATTAATATATATACCTGAAGAGGTTCAGAGTGAGCCTTCCCAAAATGTACCACTTTGGCATGTGGACTATTTTGAGCTGAAGGCAATCAAGACCCAGCAGACTCAAGAAAAACTTTTACCTCTCCCCTAAACCTAAAAGAATTTAGATGCGGACCTGTTCCAGAAAGCAAGCTACTACCAGAAATGACTTATCTGAATGACCTATCTGTACAGCAGGACAAACATCTAATTACCAAACATCTGCTCTTCTTATTGTCCTGAGAGGCCCCAGGCCCCCATCCCATTCCTTAGCTCAGGATAGCATACAAACCTCAATTGCCTGACTTGTCCTTGGGTCTTATGTTCTTATGGGGCCCCCATACATATGTAATTAAATTTTTTTTCTTACGTTAATCTGTCTTATGTCAATCTGATTATTAAAACAGCCAAGGAACCTAGAAGGGAAGAGAGGAAAATTTTTCCTCTCCTACATACCTCACGTAAAGTTCCTTATCATGAGATGCTAAGGGGCTTCCACTTAAAAGAATTCAAACTCTTGCTGGTTTTAATAACGGACTTTGGTTACTGCTCATCTTCCTGTCCTTCCTTTTTTTTTTTCCTCCAGTACTTCATACCATTGCAACCTAATCCTTAATTTACGAAGCAAAACAAAAACTCTGATCCTTGAAAAGCTATTAGAGTAGCTGTCATCATAATAACCACATAAGTAAAATATAATAATCTCAGCCGTAGATGTCTGATAAACATGCAGAACCTAGTGCCTAATTAATTCATACAATACTTGCCTCTGGAGTTCCTAGTGCTTTCACAGCATTCAGATCAGATCCTGAGGAGAAAGTACTTTTTGCCCCACGGACAATGAGACCTTTCCCCTCTGTCCAACTTTCCAGTTCAATCACTCTTTCCAGAAGTTGTAGCATCATAACACCTGCCAGAGAGGGGAAGGGATTCACAAACACATAAAATATTGGAAAAAAGAGAAATAATTTAGAAACCATCAGGCATCAAACAGAACTCTTAGGTCATGCATTTTACAAATATATACTGAATGTCTATCAAACGCCTGTTGTGTTGGTACCATGGCACATACACAAAAGAAGTATACATGACAGCCCCCGCTTTAAAAGTTTACAATTTGTTAGTGATCTCTCTCTACCTATCCATCTTAATTAAGAAATCACACAAAAATATGGTTCGGCAGAAAAATGAGAATATATCATACATGTCCTAGGGATAGGAAGATTAGAATGAATAATATGGGATATGGTGGTATGAAAAAATTATTCCTTAGGGTAAAAATGAAATACAGACCTGACTTTACAGCAGTACACATTAAGTGTCAAGTTGACAAGCTCAACAAGAGTTATAAAGTAAACAGTTCATAACAAGAGTTATGCCTACGTTCCTAACTCAAATATAGTATTGCCTACCAGAAGACTGATTATTGGAATTACATGGTTAATGTATTAATGACAGTCGTATTTCAATTCACAGAAAAAAAATTTAAGCTAAATAATTTTCATTTATAGGCTTTTCTTCTTCATTTTTAAAAATCTTTGAAATGTCCCCCCACTTGTCTCCCAGTGACATTAGCTGAACGCAAATCAAGTTATTAAGCAGTTAATAAATTTCAATGAAAAATATTATCAAGATTAATTTGACATTTATCTTTTTATCAACACCTGTATTCATGGGTTTTTAAAAAACATTAAACTATCCACAAATAGTAAGAAATGTTCCTGCTTCACGGGATAGTTTTGTTTTCGTGTGTGTATGTGTTCTACAAAGAGTACCATGACTTCCACAAATTTTATCACAAGAGTAAAGATAAAAATCATATGATAGCAGGTTAGATTTAGGTTATTCTTTAACTAGCAAAAGAAACATCTCTATACCTGAGAAGGCATTCATTTTACTTGGATTGTTCAGAGTAAGAATGCCAATGCCACTGTCTTCCCTCTGAAGGTCAACAGATCCACCGGGAAACTGCTGAAGCTTTTTTTTAACAACTTCTTCATGGAAGCCATGAGATGTATCATAAAGTGACACTCCGGTTTTATGCAGCAATTTTGTTCTTATAGACATAGACGATGTCTTCAAAAGACTTCTTGCCATTTCTGGAAAAGAGAGATAAGTATGCAGTAGTACAGATGAACAAACATGTTTCTAATATTATATGTTAATGGGCTTTAGTGACAGATGTTTCTGTTTAATTGGGAGTACTTTCCCATTTCTGAAAGCACTCTTTGAGGAGAAGATTAGTATGAAATTCCTTCCTCTTTCTGCCCCTCTCAAACCAAATAATTCACAAAGTATACCATTTCAGTATATCATGGAGAGATGATCACATAGGTACAGTGCATTTACTGGGATCCAACACACTAGAAGGTTTAGAAAAATGTCGCTGTTCTGTATTTAGCACCCTCTCCTGCCTCCAGGTAGTCTTTCTCGTGACAGTAGTTCTTCCTCCAACTCTTTTAACTTTTCCAAAACCTAAGAATAAATTCAGTCAAAAAGTCCCCTTGGAAACAGTCTCAATGCAGAAATGCTACAGGAGTAATCCCACACTCTAACAGAAATTTTATTCTTGGTATCCTTACCTCATGCAATGCTTTTATAGAAAAAGCTAGAAGGGGTCTGGAGGAAAATGGGGAAAGAAACAGGAATGTGTATGTGAGGTTTCTGTGTTCCCTGGGGTGTGTCACTCTTCTCTTCTCACTCCTGGGTAATCTCATCTCTGCCCATAGGCTTTTCCGCTCTATGTAAGCATTTTTGTTAATGTAACATAATGTATGTTAAAACATACATTCAGAAAAGTATACAAATCATACATTGCAGCTCAATGAATTTTCACAAAGGGAACTATTCAAGTAAATAGCACCCAGATCAAGAAACAGAACACGAACCTCATAAAGTCCACTGTGTCACCTTTGGTCATGATTCCAAATAAGGAAAGCAACTATTTTGACTTCTGAAACCCAAGATTAGTTTGCTAGCTTTTGAACTTTACATAAATTGAGTCATACAGTATCTTTTCTTCTGTGTCTGGTTTCAACTATGTTTCTGCCATCCAATACTGTTATTATGCGTAATTCGAGTCTAAATAGTCCATTCTTCTCATTGTTGTATTTTATTATATGAATATACCACAATTTACCTATTCTAATGCAAACGGATATTTGGGTTGTTTCCAGTTTTGGGCATTACAAATAGAGTTGCTGCAAACATTTTAGTATGTGTCTTTTGGCTCAATATCTATGCATTTCTGTTGGCTATATATCTAGAAATCAAATTACTGGGTTGGGCAGCAACCAGCTTATACTGATTGTTACACATTGAAGACTTTTGAAAGTTGGGTTTTTAAACCACTGATAGCTTGAAATTGACCACGGTGGGAGTATCAGCAACTCTACATACCAATCTCTTTCTCTCTCACACACACACACACCAAGCCAGTTTCCCAGTACACCAATGGTCATAATAATTGCATCTGTTCATTTGTTCAACTTTAAAAGATACTGCCAAAGAGTTTTCCAAAACAGTTGTACAAATATAAATGGGTACTTCCACAGCTAGTGAATGTTCCAGTTCCTCCACAACCTTATTGTCACTTGCTAATGTCTTTCCTTTTTCTTTCCATTTTAGGCTTCTAGAGAGTGGTATGTCATTGTGGTTTCACTTTACATTCCTATGATGTCTGATGAAGTCACTCCATTTTCATATACTTATCAGTCATTTGCATTTCATCTTCTGTAAAGTGACTGTTTAAGCTTTATGCCCTTCTTTTTCCTATTCACCTTTTTATTATTGACTTTAGAATTTTTGTTTGCCTACAGCTTTTACTAAAACCCACAAGACACCAAATCCCACATTTCCATCTCCAGTTGAGACCTTATGCTTGTGTACTCCTAACAAACAGATATGTACTGCTGGGAGCTGTGGCTACATCATTTGATTGGCTGTTTGACAGGGTCCAGCCGATTAACGTCGAGGGGTGCAGGGTCGCCCTTTGGTGAAGAATAACTGGCCAGCCCCTCACATAGTTCTGAAACCTATGCTACTTCTAATTGCCCTTCATTCCTTTTCCTTTCTTAACCTCCAGTTTTCACGCCTTTGGGTGGCTGCTTGGGAGGCACTACCTCCTGGGAAAATTAGATAAAGTAAGAGAATGTGACCACCTGCAGGTAACTTTCAAGACATTTTTCGGTTAATTATTGGAGGAGCACACAGTCCCATTTGAGACAAGCAGAAAGGAATCCTGCCCAGATAAGATGTCGAATTAGGTTTATGGCCTCCATCTGGTTAATGTTTCCTTCTCCCTCCAGTTCTTTGTCTAAATATATATGCATCGTCCTTCTAAGTTTGCTGGTTAATTGGATGATCAAGAAGTATCTATATATTATTCTTGACCTTCTGCTTTCTGTTAAAATGTTATAGAGGTTTTCTCCTAAAAGCAATAAATAATAAATAATTGATGAGTAGAAGGGCCGAGGGGTGCAGGGATGCCCCTCGGTAAAGAATGGCCGGCCGACACCCCTGATATTTTCTGAATTATATGTATGCTTTCTAGCAAGGTTATGTCTATACTTATTTCTGTTTTTTATTCTTGAAGATATATAGTTTAGCTTAGCTTTTCAGCCCTTTACTTTACTAACAAAATGATACTTTCTCCGGCAGTGTGCTTAAGGGACTGTTAGCTCCAGAATCTAAAAGACAAAGGAATGCTTTCACCCCGTAAAGGGCGCGAAAATGTAAAGATGTTTAACTGCCCGCTGAGAATGCAGATAGCCCTGGGGATAAGACACCCTGGAGTCGCCTTTTGTTCCCATTAACCACCTACACTAATGGCGTAAATGATTGAGGGAGGCAGGGATGGCTCCACCAGGATGTAACCAGAGGGACTGCTGTCCTGTCCGGAGGCCTGGACCTTCTCTCTTTGATTTAACTTTACCATGAATTACAACAGATGCCTAGGTACCTATCTCCTTTAGCTTAGAGACAACAAACACTAGTTAATTGTGGAGAAGACTACCATTAACCTTATGCTCTATAAAATAGAATGCTAATAAATATTCTTGTGCTCGTTTTTTACTTTCTTATCTCTCTGAGAATATTTGTAGAACTATTTCTGTACTAATCCTGAAAAATATATAAACGACACTTGTGCACAGTAAAGTCGGACTTGCTAACACCAACCCAAGTCTCACGTCCTCTTTATTTCCCCCTCCCCAGTTTTTCGCTGACGCCGTCTCTCCCGCGGGAACCTGGACTTTGCCGAGGCTGGACCCCGGCAATGTACTTCCTTACTCCTCACCTCTAGAGGTACCTACCACAGGCTGCTCAAAATCATTGTCTAAAGCTGAACTCATACTTTCCTAAAACCTGTTGCTCCTTCTTTATTCCTTCTGTTAACTAATTTATGGTATCACCAACCCCATAAGCCACAGCAGAAAACCTCCAGGCCAACCCAATCTCCCTTCCCTCCCATACCTTCCATATGCAACCTCCCTCTAAAACAGTCTCTTATCTTTCCCATCCTCTATTCTTTCTACTCTAATACAGGTCAAACCTCATTACATAACATCTAGACTAACACAATGGTCACCAATTAGTTTCACATTACTCCTTAAAATCAGAGCTATTTTGGTAATCCTAACAGTTCATTCCAAATTCAAGGTTTTTCAATAGCTTTCTACTGACAAAAGGATCACGTCTAATGCTCACTTTGATTTGGCCCTTACCTGTATCTCGAATCTCCTCTCTCGTGACGTCTCCACACACAATCTACAAAGGACACCAAACAAGCAGAGTCCCACAAATTTACTTTGCTATTTTATATTATTACCTTGCCCGATAATGTCTTTCCTTCCGTGTTGTCCTGGTAAATACTCAATCATCTTTAAAAATGAATTCCTAAGCTTCCTCTAAAAAGTGATTTCCTAAGCAGAGATGCTCACTCCCTTTACTTATCCCAACCCAGTATATTATTTATTGCATTTTAACACATTTCACACATCATTTTAATTTTATTTTTCATTTGTCTTTCTTATAGACAGGAAGCTTCCTGAGAGCAGTTCTTTGAGGTAGATACCCTCTGTCACTAAAGCCTAGCACAGTGCTCAACACACAAAAGGTACTTAATAAATGCTTAATGAAGAAAACGTAGGAAAGTAAAAATATAAAACATCAGTTAGCCAAATGGAATGCCACAATCTTGTTTCCTAGCTTTAGAAATCTCTCTAATATGTGAGTTATAAAATGGTATTAGAAAGAAATGGGGGACAGGGCATCACAAAGAAGGTTATAATATAATATCCCTCCCTTCCACTTTAAATTTAATTTAAATTGCTTCACCTTCAAGTGGCATTTTTGTTAAAATGTCTCAGCAGAGCCCTTGAAACTAAGTATCTGAAAATATTACACAGTTGAATGCAATTTCCTAAACAGATATACTTTAGGAACTAGGAAACAATATTTCAAAATTTCACCACTAAGGTGACTTACAAATACAATATTGAGGAGACAAAAAGGTTTCTTAAATCTCATCAAGGAGACTAAATAAAATGTAATTCATATTAGATAAACTGTAACCTAATATTCTGTAATATATGGTAGAGGATTTCACAACAAAGAAAGGCAGTAAGTGAGGTGTTTATTGTCTTAGAGAACCATATCCAAGAATAAGACCTTGATGCTATTTTTCCAAGAAAAAAGGTGTCCTAACTTGCTATCATAAGTGCTGCGATGGGGTCTGCTTTCAACTTCCATAACTTTATTCTGTCCTTACTATCAAACTCCTTATGGTCTTACTCTGTACTCCATAATTAACCTTCCTTCTTTCCTACTGGAAAAGACACTAATTAGTGAATATCAAGGCTGACAAACTGACATTTCTTCCACATTTTATGAGCTTAGTTTGGTTACCAGAAAATAATCCCTAGTATTTAGTCATTCATGGATGAAGGGATAACTTTTTTGAAGTTTTAATTCTGAAATGTCCTAAAATTATAAAACAAAAATAGAGAAAATAAAACAGATACCTGTCCCTCATTTATAACGGATGTTAACATTTTTCTAATATTCTCTTCAGCTCATTCTTTTTTTAAAAACTTCTCAT